CCTCTCTTGGGTCTCAGCATCCCCCAGCCTCAGTGCTCAGCACCTTGCTTGGACGTTGACCATCCCACCGTGATGCTGAGCATCTTCCCTGGGGACAGAGCACCCACTTAGTGCCAAGCATCCTTCTTGAGAGCTGAGCATCCCAATCAGTGCTGAGCACCCCGCTGGCACTGAACCCTGCAGCCCTTTGGTGGAGGTGACAGCGGCCGCATCCACGGCACCCGGTGGCCTGCGATGTCCCATCTCCGAGAGCTGTCCTGACACTTGTTTACTCCCGACATCCCGCTGCACAGCTTCACCCCAGCTCTTCCTGGGCTGGTGGCTGAAAAGTGGCTATTTTTAACCTGTTAAAAATAGAAAGTCTCAGAGCACGGCGGCTCCTGTTTTTCCATTCCCTCCTCATTTTGTCGCACAGCGAAGGAGCCGGGCTGCGCCGGGGGCGCTGGGAACCCGTAAACAGGCACCAGCAAAACGGGGGGAGGAGGGGGGGAAAAAGAGAAAAAACCTCAATAAAACGGCCGTCCACCTTTTGCACGGAGCCTTATTTGGTATTTTCATGAAAAGTTATATCTTTGCACTGTAAAAAGTGCCACTTATTACTCATGCTTTACTAGGTAAGCGTATTTTCCTTGGCAGCGAGTGCGTTTGGGGTGGGTTTTCTTTTTTTTCTTTCTTCACTTCTCTGCTCCCGTACAAACCATTTCGAAGGGCTCATTAGTCTCTCTCCATCAGAACTGGCACTTTCTGCTGCTGTCTGGAGGACCGGCTCTATTAAACCCAAGACAGAACCTCTGTTTGTTCGACAAATGTGAGCCCTGACTGCACGGGGCCGTAAAAACGCGGTGTCCCCATACGGCGAACACAGGGCTGCCTTTCAGCGTGGCCCCATTAAAGTGCCACTCAGACGTGGCCCAAAGTCTGCCTTGTTCCCCGCTTGGTCATTGGCATTGGGTGAAAAATTACTTTTTTCCCCTTTTGCTTCTTAATTTTGAGGAGAAAATGAGGATTGGCCCGACGCGCCTGGGTGGAGACGTTTGGGAAGATGACTGCAGGAGGCACAGGGGACAAAATGCCAACCATCAGCGTGTCCCCAGCCCCGTAGCTGTGTCTTCGTTGTCACCCTGTGCCCACGGCCATCACTCCATCCGTATACCAACGTCACCCTGTCCCCATGTCACTAATGGATAGATGTCATCCCAACCTATGGTCACTATGATGCATGGATGTCACTTTGTCCCCGTGTCACTGACATATGGATGTCACCCCATCCTACAGTCACCACAATGTGTGGATGTCACCC